CCTCTCACCCCTTCCCACACCCAAATCCCTCATTCCCTCCCCAGAGCCCGCACCACCTGTCTCAACCCAGTGAGAGTGAGTAAGGGCTAGGGACAGCAAATGATGGAGAGGAGGGGAACGGAAAGGGCAGGGCCTCAAGAAAGGGGTGGAGTCTTGTGGAAGGGGTGGGGTAAATCTTGGCTTGCCCTGATTAACAAGTCCGGTATTTTCTGAATTTTCTTACCAGACAGAGGGCCCAAAAACTGGCAACCCTAGCTGCAAACCCCCTCTAAGTCGCTCGCGACCCCCAGTGTGAGAAACGCTGCCTTAGAGAATGAAGAGTGAATTTGTCTGTGTTTACATGTATTTTGTTAGAAATTGAACAAGATGATCTGCTTAGCCTGTGGATGCTAAAATTCAGTTCTTGTCTCATAATGTTTCACTGCTATATTCTGTTGAGATGGGACTTGTAATAATATTCTTGACCTCATTTCTCTTTGAAACTTGTAATGCCACACCTTTTATATTAGTTCCAGAAAGATTTTTTACAAATCAGCTGCGGTTTGTGGTGGTATGTGTGTGAGCGGCTGCTTCCTCTCATGGGCAGGCATGCTTGTGTGCTGTGTGCAGCGCTCCAGGGCGTGTGTGAGGTAGTGCCTCTGCCCTTGTGGTTAGTGGGTGTAAAAAGGTCGGAGACCACTGTTATAGTGTAGATATTGCTAAACATAATCAACTCATTGAAAATACAAAATTATATTCCAGCTAAAGAAGAATGCTGTTGAGCTACTCAACATGATTATCACCCCGACAAGGTGAACACTCAGGAATACTCCACATGGCTTTTAGGAGAGTGAAAGACTCATAAAGTCAACGTGTTCAGAATGGAAAAAACCCTGAGCCCCTTTTAAGGGGTGGGAGGCAAGGAAAATATATAACTTTGTTCACTCAACAGCAACAACAAGAAGTGGCTTAACCAGTAACATCGGCTATAACTTGAGTGACGATAATGCAGAGTCTTAAGCAATAAATTCGGGAGAGGAGGATGTGTTAAGGGTCAGGAATACGTTAGCAGCTTCAGAAATATATTGGGAACAAAATATCATTTTTAAGATCTCTCTCTCTAATTCCCTATTTGCAGGCAGAACAGCTAGTTTCACAGATGATAACTGAGGGTCACATGAATGGATTTATCAATAAAATTGATGGAACAGTGTATTTAGAAAATAAGATTGTCCCCTCATTTTTTTCATGTACAATTCAAACTTAATTGGTTGAGCTGTTCTCCAGAACATGAACAAGTTATATTTTAAAATGAGGGTCTATTACTGTAACACTGGGCCAGCAAGGGTTAACGAACCAGCAGGCTGTGGGACCAGGAAGCAATTAAGGGACATATATACAGGATATTGAAATGGTAAACAGAGCCATTCCTTGTAGATAGTTATCAAAGCCATGCGAAGGAGACTGGAATCTTTACCATGTTTGCCTGTATCCTTAGAGCAGGAGTTCTCAAACTTTGTGATACCGCGACCCCCTAAAATGCTACATGAATTTGTGTGACCCCCCACCCCCCACCCTCACTGCTCCACGACATATATACAGGATATTGAAATGGTAAACAGAGCCATTCCTTGTAGATAGTTATCAAAGCCATGCGAAGGAGACTGGAATCTTTACCATGTTTGCCTGTATCCTTAGAGCAGGAGTTCTCAAACTTTGTGATACCGCGACCCCCTAAAATGCTACATGAATTTGTGTGACCCCCCACCCCCCACCCTCACTGCTCCACGAGTAAGGAGGCAGCTGGGGGGTTGTCAGGGGCAGTGGGGCTGGCCGGGGGAGTTGGGGGGTCGTCGGGGCAGCAGGGCTGGCCGGGGGAGATCGGGCAGGGGAACAGGCTAGCAGGAAGCAGGGCTGGCGGGGGGGGG